CAATGGGAAGGTTGAGAAGGGTTTGACAGTGTATCCCGACCTGAGTGTGAGATACCGAGACCATTTGTTTGTGCCGGAGTCTTGTCGGGAGGAAGTACTCCGAGAGTTCCATCATTCACGCCTTATGGTGCATCCGGGAGGCACTAAGATGTATCGGGATTTGGATCGCCAGTTTTGGTGGCGGGGTATGAAGAGAGATGTGGCTGTTTTCGTATCGAAATGCCTTACTTGCTAGCAAGTGAAGGCCGAGCATCAGAGGCCAGCGGGTTTGTTGCAACCTTTGCCTATTGCCGAGTGGAAGTGGGAGCGTGTCACTATGGACTTCGTTGTAGGTCTTCTGAGGACTCAGCGGGGTAGTGATGCTATTTGGGTGGTTGTAGACCGGTTGACTAAGTCGGCGCACTTTATTCCTATGCGCGTGAGAGATTCGGTAGATCATCTTGCCGATTTGTATATTCGGGACGTAGTGAGATTGCACGGGGTCCCAGTGACGATCGTCTCAGATAGAGATCCTCATTTTACTGCTAGGTTGTGGCAGAGTTTGCAGAGTGCCTTGGGCACTAAGTTGACCTTTAGTACGGCTTATCATCCCTAGACTGACGGACAGTCCGAGCGTACTATTCAGATCCTTGAGGATATGCTTTCAAGGTTGTGTCCTTGATTTTAGTGGGACGTGAGAGAGGCACTTGCCCTTGGTGGAGTTTGCCTATAACAACAGTTTTCAATCTAGCATCGGTATGCCACCGTTTGAGGCCTTGTATGGCCGACCGTGTAGGTCTCCAGTGTGTTGGGCCGAGATGGGTGATGCACCTTTGTTAGGTCCGGAGTTGGTTAGGGAGACGATAGAGAAAGTTGAGCTTATCCGTAGGAGGCTTGTTATAGCCTAGAGTCGCCAAAAGAGTTATGCCAACCGTAGGAGGAGGCCTTTGGCGTTTGAGGTAGGTGATTATGTCTTCTTGAAAATATCACCTAGGCGAGGTCTAATGAGGTTCGGGAAGAGTGGGAAGTTATCCCCTCGATTTATTGGTCCCTTTGAGATCCTTGAGAGGATTTGGAAGGTTGCTTATCGTTTAGCTTTGCCACCGCAGTTATCCGGGGTACATGACGTGTTTCATGTGAGTATGCTTCGGAAGTATGAGCCGGATCCGTCCCATATATTAGATTGGACCGACTTAGGGGTAAATGAGGATGCCTCGTATGAGGAGAGACCGGTTCGGGTCTTGGATAAGCGGGATCAAGTCTTGCGAGGCAAGACCATTCCCTTGGTAAAGGTTTTGTGGAAACATCATGGAGTGGAGGAAACCACTTGGGAACGCGAGTTGGAAGTCCGCGAGAAATATCCGGACTTGTTTGTTGATGTGTAACCATGCATTGGTAATTTTGTAATATCGTTGAACTTTAAGAGCATTATATATGTCTTAAGTTGTAAAACGTTGTGAATGTTTTGATAAATGGAAATTGTTATAACATTGCATATGTTCAATGTATTGTGGAAATACAAGCATGACGTTAATGTTGCATATATTATGGAATTGTGGAAAATGAGCTGAAATTGGTAAATTTCAAAAGAATGCATGTTGATAATGCAGGTTGTTATGTATAATGTGATATGCCTCTTGAAAAGAGATGGGATTGATCGGTAACGGGTCAGATTGTTTAACGTTATGTTATAATATTGTTGGGAATAGAGAAAACTTGTTTTTGATAAACTTGTATTTAATTTCGGGGATGAAATTCTTTAAGGAGGGAAGGTTATAGCAATTCTGGTATTCTCTTTACTGTTCTGTTGCATTCCGGACTCGGTTCCGTGGAGTTGGTAATTGTGTCTATCATGTTGTCGTCCTTTAATTCTATTTGTTTGAGTGTTAGGATGTGTTGGGCTTGGTTGTTATAGGTTGGTAGAGCTTTGGTTCCCATTGCTGTTGCCCAGTTTTTGAGTGGTCCGCTCGAGCGGGGTCATTTTACGCTCGAGCGGGGTTTACACCCTTCCAGCATTTCGAGTCCCTGCAAAACTTCTGCAGGTGTGTTTTCTACGCTCGAGCGGGTTTCTTGCGCTCGAGCGGGTTGCACTCGAGCGGGCTTGTTGGCGCTCGAGCGGGTAGTACCTCGTTGGTGAAAGTTCTGGGAGATGAAAATCCACACTCAAGCGGACTGATTTTCGCGCTCGAGCGGATGTACTTTATCCTTGTGTCTTGGCGCTCGAGCGGGCCTTCTTGCGCTCGAGCGGACCTAGTTTTTTTGTTCTTGGCGCTCGAGCGTTGTGTTTTCCGCTCGAGCGGGAATGTCGTATAACAGAGGGCAGCTGGGCATTTTTGAATCATTTTCTACACTTCCACTCTCTCTCTTACTTTCCCAAACACGTTTTTGAGAGCCTCTCTCTCTAGAAACTCCCTTCTCTCTAAGGTTTGATCTAGTTAGAGTGCTTCCCTTCCCTTTGGCCTTTGTAAAAGTTGTGTTGATCGTCGGGGGCTTCGTTTTGATCCGTGGATCTTGGAGTTTGGAGCATTTTGGTTTTCTTCATCCTCTTCTCTTGAGCTCCGAATTTTAGGTAGGGATTCCTACTCACTCTTATGGTCTTTGACATAGATTTTTGGTTGTTTTGATAAAGCGTTGAAGTTGGGTAAATTTGGGACTTAGGGTTTCAAAATGTTAATAGAGGGTTTTGTTATTTTGATTCTAAAATGTATATTGTGGATTTCAAAATAATGATATTGTTGTTGGTTGTTGATATATGGACCATTGGGTTAATATTAGGAAATGGAGTAGAAAACCCTAATTAGTTGTATAAATTAATTGGTACGATTAATTTGGAAAAATTGTGGTTATATGGAATTGAGTTGGAAATAATGAAATTGGCTCATTATATAGTAGAATAGTGGAGTTGGATTTATTAATCACTCACCTTTGAGAATTATTAATAATTTATCTGTTGGTGCATTTATTATCTGTTTAGAAATAACTGCTTCGGGCTATCGGTGGAGGATAGTCTTGATTGTTGTAGACAATGCATGATGATTAGGTAAACTAAAACTAATCAGTTGGATATGTCATAGAGTATGACGGTTGATAGAATACATTAACGTTATGTATTGATTGATTGTGTATATGACCTTTGTGTATATACGTTGTGTGTGTGTGGGAGGAGATAGGGGATGTACTCTACAGTTTAGGGAAGATAGGGGATGGACCTCTAAACCGGATGTGTTTGAGAGGAGATAGGGATGGACTCCATTGATACAGCTCATATGCTTATCAGGTAAAGTGTTGATACAGCTTATATGCTTATCTATGGAAGTGTTAATACAGCTCATATGCTTATCTTTGGAAGTGTTGATATAGCTAATATGCATATCTGTTGAAATGTGGATACAAGGCTTGTATGCTTATCTGTTGAGATGTTGATACAACTAGTATGTTTATCTATTGTAAAATGGGAAACGTTTAATATGAGTCACTGTCTCATATAAGTGGTTGGCCAGGTTCTGAGCCGTTGATGTAAATTGTGAAATTGATAAGAAATGAAAACTGAAATGAAACATGAACATAGTGGTCATGAAATGGAAATAGGTTATGAATTGATTTATGGAAATTGAACATTTATCAATTGCTAATATCTTAGTTATTGCTCATACTGTGTTTAGCATATTTCTACTGGGCGTTAGCTCACCCTATATGGGACATTATTTTCTGGTACAGGTAGTATGCCACCTCCAAGGACATAGCTTGGATGATGATGAGAGTTGAAGACTCTTTTTGATTATTTTGTTTGTATTACATGTATATCAAGCCAAGGGCTTATTTTGTATAGAGTTAGTACTCTTCTTTTGTGTAACCAGGTGTTGACTTGGAAAGTTGTAAGCCCATAGGGCATTTGCTTTTGTTGTTAACATGTAATACAGTTGTAAGAATTACTCTGATGAATAGAAATGATTGGTTTCTTTTATAGCAATGCATGTCTAAAGTGATGGGTTTTATGTATTATTTTGAGGGCGTTACATTTGCTACTTAAAAGATTATTTGTTCTGACTAAGTTATCCTAAATGTTTTGGCCTAACTAACTATCCATGGTTATTTCGTGTCCCTTATACTCATGGTATAATATTTCTCACTCTGCATGTGCTTATAGTTGTTTACCAATTTTCACGAAATATTTTTGAAAAGTCATAGATGCGGGGCTGGGGAATAGACACACACAATATTTTTATGACATGATTATGTGTAAATATCGGCTTTTTTGGTCAATATGTTTTGTAATAAAAATAGAAGCTCCAATGATTATTTTGGTACCCTCACTTATATATTACTTCCGCTTGCGTTTATTAATTTGTTTATGAATTGGCCGTAGATAATTTCAGTTACTGCCATCACGATACTTAACCCTTGGGTACGGGGAGCTGGTCGTGACAGTGTGTATTTTTAAATTTTTATTCAAACTCTAATTTCTCAAAATAGATATTCATAAAATTGGTAGTCTTTTTAAATAAAAAAATTGACATATTTTTATTTTATTTTGTAATTTTCAAATAAAAGATTGTATTTAATTTAGTATGGGGTTTGATGGTGATCAATTTGTTGGCTTTTTAATTTTTTATTTATTTATTTATTTATTTTATAGATAAGGTAATATTTGGTTATTCTACTATATATATGTTTGTCTCAACAATTTAGAAATTTTTTTAATATTGTATAGAATTTAATAATTTTGTTCAATATTTAATAATGGGTCTTTATTAATGTTTTTGTAAAATTTTAGAAAATATGAATGAAATTTACTATTTGAATATATAATGACAATCTTAGAATTTTTTACTTGTAATATATGACATCAGCATATTCGGTTAAATAAATAACAGAAGAAATGATGGGGGAATCATAATAATAGTTTCAAAAGGAAATAAAATTTTTATAATTATTAAAGCTATAGGGAAATTTCTGTAATTATTAGAAATCTCAGGTGGTAAGTGTAATTTACCCCAAATCACAAAACTGGGAATCTAACAGAACAAAGAAAGATTAAAAAGAGCCAAGAGAATTCGAAGAACCCTAGAATTTTTTTTTGGCTCTCGCATTTTTGAATCTCAATCGAATAGCTTGGTAAATTCAATTGCTTGTACTGAATCATTTCATTTGAATCGATCGAACAATCAATCAGTCAAATCAGTCATGGCTGGTATGAAGCGTCTCGCTGGTTCAGATTCGAACCCTGACACCACCACCACCACCACCGACTCCATTGTAAGTTCCTTCTTCATTTTTAAAACCCTAATCTTTGTTTTTCTCTGATACTGTTTATCGAGTTCTATGAGCTTCAACTTATGAGTATGAAATCAGGAAAACAATAATGAAAGAAATGCCATGCTACTAATACAGTGGTGGGTTCAATCAAATTGAGAAATGGCAGATATTAGCCATTGAAGAATCAAATCATATTTTTGATACCACTGCTGCTACTCATAGTGTAATTGGTATCACCTGTTCCTGCCCCATTCGACGCATTGCCAGACCGGAGGGTTCTAATATTTTGTTGCCCCTATGGGACCCGGAAAAGGAAAAAAAGAAGAAGAAATTTTTATGGAAAAAAAGGGCTAACAAGAAAAATTAAGGGTAGATATATTACCATGAAGGGGAGCTAGACCTTAATAATTCTAAAAGCATTGGAATTTGTGGGTTGCACTTTTTTTTTATTGAATTTGACAAATACCCTTTCAGTCTGCAAATTTCAGCTTTCAGCTTTGAGTTCAAACTATTGTTACTTGTTATATAAACCCCAAAGACAAATGATGATTCTCTCAGCTCGGATTTAGAACTTCAGTCAACAACCCCAACACGCATATCATAATTACATTTTTTTAATTATGTGTTAATTATTAATTCTGATATGTGCCTTGTGATTAATTTGTTCATATCTATTTGATTTGAAAATTATCCATCATGATCTCTGTTTAGAATTCGAAATTGGTGGCTTAAATGATGTCAAAAACTAAAATTAGCTACATGAATAGACTAATTGGAATTTTTAGAACCATCTGGGAAGTTTGATTAAAAATTGATTCAGTTTAGTAAAATCGCATGTGATTAAATTGTGCCTTAATTGGAACTATTTACAGGTAATTGAGTTGTGTGCTAACCTTGATTAGTTAAGGCTACTTGTGTTTAATTAAGATGATACAAGATTTGTACCTAATCTAATCCTATTCATGATTCAAGATTTGATTAAGTGTAGGGGATTATAACCCTTAAGTTTGCTTTGGAGCTTTGCATGTGTGTGCATGTGTGTGCATGTGTCTTGCACTCAAGAAGTGAGGTGTGTGTGTGTATATATACCATCTGATGAGTTGATTGCAAGCTCATTCTTGCTTTGTGCTGGAGAGTTTTAGAGAGAGAGAGGGAGAGCACTCTAGAGAGAGAAAGCTTTAGACTTGTGTTATTTGAAGAAGAAGAAGAAGAAGAAGAAGAAGAGTAGCTAGGGAAGAATCTGTGAGTATTTGGCCAATTTGGATACCATTCACCAAACTTCCTGTACAGATACACTTGGCCAAAATGGTTGAGTCGAGCATAAACACTGTCATCTCCTTGAGACAGCTAGGTCTTTTCTTTTCTCTACCTCAATTCCGGCTCCATTTTGGAGGGAGGCAGTTCTTACAGCTGTTTTTCTTCTCAACTGCATGCCTACTCCCCTTCTTTTTGGTCGGTCTCGTTATGAGGCTTTGTTCTCCCAAACCCCTAACTACTCCTTTCTTCGTGTGTTTGGATCTGCCTGTTTTGTCCTTCTTCCTCGCAAAGATAGGACCAAACTTAGTGCTCGTTCTGTCCTCTGTGTCTTTTTAGGTTATAGTCCTACTCAGAAAGGCTATCGGTGTTACGACCCTGTTTTCCGTCGTCTTTATGTCTCCTGTCATGTTTCTTTTCTCGAACGTCTACCTTACTTTCAGTTTCCTCCTCTCACCGCCCCAGTTTCCAAAAAGGATTTGGTTCATATTGATCTATTTCCTTTTGAGGTCCTATCTAACGAGTACATCTCCATAGTTTCTCCTGAGCTTGTTCCATCCTCTTCTTCTGTTTCACCTATGGCTGCTACTCCCCTTTCGGTTTATTCTCCTCCTCCGTTGTTTGTTTATTCTCGTCATAAGGCTCCTCCTTCATCGGTTGTCTCTGCCTTTGCTGTTGATCCTCCTGCTTCTGACGACTCTGATCTTGCTACACACCGATATCCTACTCGAGCACGTCATCCTCCAAACATGTTAGGTTGGTTTAATACATGTTTTTCTGCTTCCTATCATACCTTTTTGTCTACTATTCACTCTTTTTTAGAACCTCAGTCTTATAAGGAAGCCTGTCAGGATCCTCATTGGGTTTAAGTTTAAAATATTCTCTACCCAAGTCAGACCGTAACACTTTAATTGTAGACCCAAACTGAGTAGTAATCATAGACTGAAAGGTACGGTATATCTAATAGAAATCGGACTTATGAGTTTTAAAATAAATCCAAGTGTAACGGGTGCAGTCATCAACAAATGACACATAGTATGCGGAACCCCTTTTAGTGAAAATAGGAGAAGGGCCCCAGATATCAGTATGAACTAAAGAAAATGGTATAACAGATATAGAAGTACTTTTACGGAAATGTAAGCCTGTCATTTTGGCAAGTTTACATCGCCAACATTCAGTAAGTTGACTAGGAGAAATTTTGCCCAATATACCTGATTGAGCTAAAGACTGTAAGCGGTCAGCAGACAAATGCCCTAATCTGGAATGCCACGAATAGAAAGGACTTGATAGAGAATCTAACTGAAAAGAAGAAAAGGCAGTCGGAGAGGTAGTTATAGGCAAATACAAGCTCTCCACCACATAGAGGTCTCCAACTCTACGGTCAGTCCCAAATTTGCTGCTTGGACATCCAATCTTGCACGGAACAGATAGAAAAAGAAAAGATAACATCAAAACCAGAGGCATCAAGTTGACTAATAGATAATAAACTGACAGATAACTGAGGAGCATATAAGATAGATGGAATAGAGATTGCAGACATAGCAGACAGTAGGATAGACCCAACAGATATAACTGACATATCAGACCCATTAGTAGCATTAATGGTAATAGGAAGGGAGGAGAGTACAATTCTAAAGTAAGGAGAGATGAGAAGTCATATAATGAGAGGCACCAGAGTCAAAAACGCAGACAGGAAAAGAGATACCTGAAGAAGACCTAAGCAAACCTGAATGAAGAGAGGAAACAATGGAGGCAGGGAGCTTGATAGTGTATGCTGAAGTTGACTAATCTGAGCACTCAAGGAAGCCAAGTCAGGATTAGGAACTGGAGTAGATGCAGTAGAACCGATGGAAGCCTGAAAAAACTTAGAGAAGAAGGGCAAAATTAGGTCCGAGACTGTTGAGAATACGAGCCAAATAGACATCCCTTCTTGGGACAGTGATATTTCTAATGGCCCCTCTGGTGGCAGAAGGCACACTCATCTGAAGCGAGGAGCCCCTTCTTGGGCTTTACAGAAGCTGAACCCGTCATCATTATAATGACCCCAAAAATAAAAAATAAAAAAATAGAGAACCGTAATAAATTGAAAGCTGATGGGGCAACATTGTAATATCAAGAAACTTGTTTGGTCCAAACAAGAATAAAAGAGAACAGTGATCAACCAAAGAAAGACACCTAGGTCCACCAGACTCAGAACAAGAGAGAGAGAGATGTCATGATGTAGGTCGCGACTCCAATAGGTGCGATTGATGACACAATTCCAGCAACTGACGATGACGAAGACAAAGTCGAAGAACTGATGTCGTAACTCCAATAAGAGATCAATCACTCGTGAGTCACAAGCAAAGAACAAGAAGCACCAAGGCAACTAGCAGATGCGACGGGCCCAGAGTGACGCGATTCGCGAACCAGAGCGTACGCATCAGTGAACTAGAAAAACCATGATCAGAGACAACCGCGAGAGAGAATCATACGACCTACGAAGCAAGGAGCTTCGATCGATCGTGAACCAGAGAAGGAAATGACGAACCGGAATAAGAGGCTAGAGTTTCGAACATAGCTCTAATACCATGGAAGAATTTTGAAGAATTTCTGTATATTCAATTGTGTTTCAATACAATGTGTACATATGATATATATAACAATTCTAGACCTAATCCTAAATAGGAAATAAGAATAAACCTAAACCAATCTTAAATAGAAAAGAATAAATCTAAACCAATCCTAAATAGGAAACAATATTCACACAATATATACTATACTAATATTATTCTCACAGAATCATCTCCTATTTCTGAAATCAAAGCTCTAGGTAAGAATCTTGAGCCTAAATTCTGTGGCTAATCCTCCATGCACCATGATTTCAACAAGTTTTATTGAGCCAATTTCATGAACTTTGTAAGAAAATGAGTTTTTGAGCATGGTGATAAGTTGCATGTACATTCATGGAAAGTAATCTTTGATTTTATCATTTTGGGTTTAACTTTTGAAACTCCTACATACATGTGAGTCTAATCATGTTTATTGTTTCTAAAATTCATGAGTTTGTCGGTCATCATTGCGTGTTTTTGAAGAACAAGAGAAAGAGGTGAAAAATCTTGCAGGCATAAAGTTTTGGTTCAACCTTTGTTAAATTAAAGAGATTTTGAGCAAATGATTTACAAATGATCATGAATTTACGTTTTGTAAAGTGTTTCCATGTTTTTGAACAAGCCATGCAAGACACCAAGTTTTGAAAAGTTGTTTGGAGGCCATTTATGCAGATTTCGAAACCCATAATTTCACAGATGGCTCGAGCGACCAAGTGGTGGCTCGAGTCAACAGACTGTATGTTTTCATATCGCTCGGGCAACCAAATGTTGGCTCCAACGTATATTGCGAGTTCCTAGTACTTTTATAGTCTTTGTAGTTGGCTCAAGCGATGAAATGGTGGCTTGAGCGATAACTTATGAAACCTATACTTGATACAAGTTATGGGATATGACAAGATTTTCGAATAAGTGCCTTGAGATGCTAAGTTATGCTTTCAAACTCCGAATCGTGTACAATGTGATAAGTTTTTTGAAAATGAGATTTGCTAAGAATGAGTAAGTTTCCTTTTGAACAACGATTATGAAAATGTGTTCTGATTATTTGGTGACTACTATTTTGTCTATGATCCTAAGTAATCGTTTTGTATGGAGTCTACGTGTGATTGATGTTCTATATGATTCCGATAGTTATCGTTCTGCATGATGTCTACACGTAAAAGGCGTTTTGAATGAGCTCAATAAGTATAGGTCATCAATGTGATGTTTTGTATAAGCCATCTAAGTGATGTTTCGCATGAGTCACCAATATGGGTGTTTCAAATGAAGTCATTCTATATGAATGTTCCGTAAGGTATTTCTACCAGTTAAATAAGGCCTTCGGGCACTTTGCTATGTGTTAAGCTACGGAAGGTTTGATAATTGTATTTGTTGTTATGTGTTTTCGAAACAAGCTGTAATTATCCCAAAAACTTTATATTGTTTTGATAAGTTATGAGACTCATTCATTTAACCCCTTTACATAGAGATTACTCATTGGGCTTCCGGCTCACTCTGTTTATATATATATATGTATGTAGGTGAGCATTAGGAAGTTCAGTATTAGAGCCTACTTTGGAGTCAGCCTTTTGTGAAACCACCCGAGTTATGCCTCCGCGTTAAGGGCTTAGTAGCAGAAATCGTCTCAGATGGTGATGACTCTGAGGAAGAAGTGCAATTCTGCGCTTCTGAGGAAGAATCGCAGTAGAATTGCGAATCTGAGGAGAGGGAAACTCGAATCTGATGCGAGAAGGAAGCACTCTTGAGAGGGCAAGGAGAGAACCTTATCGCTGGCTTCGATCCTCTGTTCGACGACTTCAATCTCGCGCCCTTTTGACTTCCCTTTCGAATTCGACGAGCGTGGCGTGGCCCCTTCGACTTCGACTTCGTCTTCGACTTCGGCTTCATCTTCGACGAGCACTACCATAGACGAGCTTCGATCTATCTTCATTGGCTTCGTCTTCGATGATCTTCTATCTATCTTCTCTCTCTCTCTCTCCTCTCTGTCTTCTCTTCTCTTTGTTTTCTTTTCTCTTCTGTTCTTTCTGATTTATAATCTGTACTCTCTTTCTCTCAAAAGATATTTAATTAATATATATGTCAATTATAATATATATATGTCATATATCAATAACAATAACTATTTATAAATCATATTTATTTATATTATATATGTTAATTAAAAATAAAAAAAAATATATAAATAAATTAAAAATATTATCAATAAAAATGATATATAAGATAAAAAATAATAAATATATTTAGATAAAGCATAAATGTTGTTTTATTAAATAAAATATAATAAATTTTATTCAAAGATAATGACTAGTGTTCTAAAAAATATCGCTCCACTACTTTTATTTGCTATTTATTTTTAAAAAATATTTTTTATGTTGTATTTAATTAATTAAATATTACATAAAAATAAAAAATTTATAACATATATATGTTAATTAAAAAAATTTTAAAAAAATGTTTATATAGATAAATTAAAAATATTTCAATAAAAATAATATATATAAGTGCTCCCAAATTACGACTCCTTTACATGGCCATGCTTCCTCGCTCCCGCTCCCGCTTCGTGCAACTAAGGTCGAGGCCTTAGTTTTTGTTTTGACCAAGCTTGAGATGCTTGGGTTTTGTTCAGCCTGTCATGTTATAGTTTTTGTTCTTGGGTTATGTATCTATAAGATGAATGTTTGTAAATATTATGGTATGATGTGAGATATGTTTTGTTTGCGTTTGTTCATAGCATGTATGCACAGCTCAATGGACAAATTTTATACTCTGCTTCCGCTTCTGGCCGCGTATATTTAATTATATTTATTTTGGAATTCTGTCTTTGAGGCTGCGTAATCTGGGATAACTGGCCGGTTACGACCTAAACCTCTAGGGGTGGGTTTAGGTTGTGACATAAACTTTTCCACATTCTTGGGCTATACTCAACCTATGACCTGCATGGAAAACATTGTGCTGGTGCATGGTACTCTAGTGTCTAGTACACTAGATTAGAGAATGTTTTTAAAATACATGTCCATTGCATGACTTTGACATTTACTTGTATGAATATTTATTTACTTATTTGTTTTTTGTTGTGATTTTGCAGTTCCAGAGTAAAAGAATAATGGTAGGATCCCTTTTTGACGATCACAGGGCAGAGCCATCTCAGCAGCAATCAATGGAGACACTACCATTGGATGTGCACCGGGCTGAATTATCTAGACAGCATGTGAGAGCTCTCAATACCCAATTTGCAAGGTGCATTCTTTACTATTCCACTCTTTGTGCTTTTGTTGTATCAGTATATTTTTTTGGGTTGATACTTGTTGATAATCGATGGGGATGGAGAGAGAGAGAGAAGAGCTGCGGTTGATTGTGGAGGTGGGAGGGGGAAGGGAGAGAGATGACGGAGCAGAGGATAATAAAGTAAGTTAACCGAAAATCACTAACAGAGGAGTTCAGTGTGATTTTCAGAATGTTGAGGGGGAAGTTCTATTAGTCACTAACCTTAGGGGAGGTCTGTGTAATTTATCCAAAAAGAAATGAGTAAGTGCTTCATTGGTCTCTAAAATTCAGTCATACTGCATACCCGGCATTAGTTTCTCCATTTTCTTAACATATACTTGGCCATTTTCCCCCTAGGATTTGTGTTTTTTGGCATAAATTTTCATCTTACCTATTATGTTAAACATTGGTGATGTTTATGGTAAACAGCTGGGTCCAAACACAATTACAGAATCACCCTGATGAACTTTGGGAAGATGGAGTCCAAGATTACCTAGCCCATGCTTCACACATCATGGTATTTTTCTACATCTCTTTAAATTATTTGTAAACTCGTTATAAATTGCCAACTGGTGATTTGGCTACATATTTGCACACACGTAAGCTTATTACCTATACACATGTAAATGCATAATAGGATATATATTTATATATATAATATGTGAACTGGCCTCTAAATTTGAAGCCTGTAACTTTTCTGTTTGATAAAGTCCATGCTGTAGCAAACAAAATAAATCATTTTTCCATAGCTCAATCACAATTGAAGTTTCGTGGAATGTCCAAGCCGGCCCTTATTTCCATTGTTTAACCCTGAGATGTACTTCAACTGGTTGCCTTGGATTTTGTCAAGTTGAAGGTGATGGTGGACTATGCTTATCTAGATGTGCTGTGAATCAGTTTCTATGTTGACAACTTGACATTTAAACCTTCTAGAGAGGATTTCTAACGCTTATTTGCTTGATTGTAAGTTGTTGCAATCTTGACAAAGAAAATTCTGTAAAATTGAAGTTATTTGTTTTCATTTACTTGTTGCAGGAAAAATTTAGTGATGTTGTTAATTGGCTGAAAGAAAATGCTGTGAAAGGAGAAAGTTTCTCTACGTTGGGATCTCACACTGCTCCAAAGAAGCTTGTGTCTGAAAGTAAGGATAATCAAATAACATCCTTTCAGGAGAAAACTGGCTTTTCTCTGGCTGGTACAACTGCTAGCTTTGCGCCTTCATGGAGCTCTGGAGTTTTCTCATCAAGTCAAACTCCTTTTGCATTTGGTAGGTACAATCTTTGGCAGCATTAAGGGCCTCCTTTCGAGGTCCAACCTTGGGTGCCTTTTGGATCCTAGTAACATCAATATGTCTTCTGAAGATATGTTGTATAAAATAGAACTACTTATCAGTGATACATATCTATTTCTATTAATTCTTTCATTTATAAATTATATTTATGCTATAATGTTTTCGCTCACTGCATGATCCATTTTTAATCTCTTTTTAACACACTAACGTTACAAATGTATTTACGTGTTTGACTTTGTGCTCCTCAGCCACATTAATCTTGTGATATTATTTATTATCCTACATTTTGGCTTTGAAATGCTCACCAGTGACTCTTAGACACAGTGTGGAAATTTTAATGCTCGTAATGTTTTTCTGTAATTAGGGTATATTACTTATCTTCTAGTTCTAACCTATTCCATTTTCCACGTGGCACGTGGGGCTGATAAACTTGTCAACTGAACTGAACTACTTATTGCAGTGGTGGATATACAGTCAGTCCAATGGGATTTTGACAAACAGAGATTCCTCTTTTCCTTCTCATCCACTCTCTCTTTTCTTTTCTACTTTTTCCCTTTCTCTCACCTTTTTTCTTCTCTTCTTTTTACATTATCTCTTTCTCTAAACTTTTCTTCTTTCTCTCATCATTATGTTTGGGTTGGAGTTTGGAGGTGCATTTACTCCATTGCTGTGTGGAATTCCTCCATTGATCATCCTTGTTCAGATGACCAGTGAATTAAAAGGTTGGAAATGCGGGAAAATTTCCAAAGGGGCTGAAACTGGTGATAGCCAGAAAACCACTGGCAGAACCACCAGTGCATTGAGACCCGATCAGGTTGGCCCCCCTGAGGGTAGTTTCTAGGTTGATTCTTGACTTATTGGGTATACTTTCATCTATGCATTGACCTTTAATTAATATCCCTAAAGCGGGTTAGATTTTCATATGATAGTTAAATTGAGATTGTGACCTAATCCCTAGGGAACCACACCTGGTGCATGTCTAATTCATTGTTGGAAGTATGTAATGCACTGCTGTGAGTTACTAGTTTTAATTTTTTTATTTTATTTTATGAAATACCGCAAAAACAAGCAAAATGGAAGCCCTTTACAATTATGATTAATGGAATCTCCAGCCCAGCACATCTGAACTCTATATGGATGTTAACCAATGTAATGCTGTGTTCATTTTTATTTGACTTTTGACATGACGGATGATTTTATGGAAGACCTTGTATTTAATTTGTTTCATGTGAGTGGTTTATTCTTACAATGTTTACTTATTCACATGAGCTGCTGTCTAAGTGCTTCTGTTCGCCACCTTGGAAATGTTATTTTAAGAATGTTTGAACTTTGACTGTTTATGATTTTGTAGCAAGTACGGGCTTATTATTTGTGTAATCAGATGCTATGAGAGTTGAATTAACATAACTGTAATCACTTGTTAATCTGATGCTATGAGAGTTGAATTAGCATTGCTGTAATCACTTATTCTGACATTTGTATTGTACCAAGCATAGGTGTTGTCAGTTGTGGCTTTACCTTTGTTATTATTTTAACCCTTCACATGAGCTTCGTTTTGTCCACTCCTTTAATGTCGTCCCATTGTGGCCTGACTGAAATAATGTGAATGGATGTGCTTTAGCAGATGTTTACACATATATTCTTGTACCTACTGTGCCCTACAACTTGGACCTCGTCATCCTTGCTTTTGGTGCAGTGATTGGTTTTTGTGGATAACCATCTGATTTGGCGTGTCACCTTTATCTCTTATCAAACAATTAATTGATTTTGTTTCTGCATTTCATTCAAATTTGGATTTTTTGAGTTTTTGTTTGTATTTTTTTGTTCCAGGAAACCAAAGTTCTGCTCCCTTAAACAATGATGCTTCAAATGATGTGGATGGTGGTGAGACATGGAACTCTGTCTTATTTTACATTATCATGAAAATCATTTTTCAATGCTATTACACTCATGAACATAACCTTGCCATGCTTTGGCTTGTATTGACTTAACTAGTCATCACGCACATTCAATTCTCCTCATTGTGTTAATGAGTGAGTTATTAACTTTTTTGTTGTTTCATAAATATGTAAAGGGATGTCTTGTGTTAAACCTGGTTGATGGTTTATTTCCATTGATTTAATTTAACACAGTAGATTCTAAGATTTGCCAAAATTTTGTAACAATAAAGCATCTGGGGCGAATGCTTGGGATCCAGTTTAGTCTGGCTAGTTAGATGGATTTGGGAACCAATCAAATGAATTCAGTGCAGACAGCTAAGTGCTAATCCATCCCGAGCTTGGGACTGGAATTAAGGGTCCACACTGCTCATGTTCTGGTTATGATGTTAAGCTAGATATGCGAAGAATAATCATTCCACATCAAAAGAATAAGTAAATCTGAGGGGCATTCCTTTCCATATAAGCCACAAACCTTGGCTTTGTAGTGCAAAGCATGTGTGCTTACCTGCCAGGCAGCCACGTGTCATACTTTGATGCTTGTTTGAGTAATGGCAATGAGATTTTCCAATATCCCTCCGGTTTCAGATTGGTGAAATTGTCTCTCCCCCCCTAAAAAGGATATTATTTATTTATTATTTTTTCCCATTTTGTTGCAAATGAACAAACATACATGAAGTTATAATGATTGATCCACAAAAGGGTAGAGCCAAAAGTTACCACGAACCAAAATAAAAGAGCTCGAGTGGCAACATTGGGATTTAAAAAAAGGCATCCCATTCACTTGTTCCAACCTAGGATAAGATGCTCACGAGCTTGGTCTTACTTCACTTTCGAGAAGGAAAGAAGAATTTTATCTCCAAGTCAACTTCAATGTAGTTTCCAGTACTTATTGTGGAGCGTCTTGATCAACTCAAGCCTCCACAATTTCAAAATCTTCATGTCATTCCCCCACCCCGACTTACCCTTCCAATTTTATTTATTTAAAAGATGAGGTACCTTGAAAAATAATTTTCCTTATGGAACCTTTAAATGTTAGTTTTTTTAGAAATTTTGTAGTGACTAATGACTCATTTAATTTCTTCTCTGTGCATTTAGTCATCTACTAGAACTTACTTTTCTTTTTAATGTAGTTGTGTTTCACAATCCCTTGTAGTAAAAGAACTACATTCTGCAGTGGATTGACCTTTTTGTTTATATGGACCCAGGATGTTGAAATTTTAGAAGCAGATGTTCTAAGGTGAGCTATGTCTTAGAATATCAACTTAGGTAGTCTTTCTTTTTTTTTTTTTTTGCGCGCGCCCAAATGGATTTCTTGATGAGGAAACATACCAAAATAGCAATAAAAGGGAGAAAAAGGGTAATGGTCCTAGATCTGTGTATATTATGTATGTACGATGATAGTTTCTTTTGCTGAGTGAAATTTATTGGATTATTATATTTAAAGCAATAGATGACAAACTTATTATTATTAAGTTTATTAAATAAAAAAAAATTCTTTTAAAGTCAATATATAGGATTTATTTCAGATCAGTAAAAAAATATGAATAAAATGTCATTTTTTACCATACCCATCCCCTCCATTCATGGCAATTGGTGACGCCTCTCCCTCCCTTGACACTCCATCCCCTCCATTTATTTCAGATCTGTGTATATTATGTATGTACGATGATAGTTTCTTTTGCTGAGTTAAATTTATTGGATTATTATATTTAAAGCAATAGATGACAAACTTATTATTATTAAGTTTATCAAATAAAAAAATTTCTTTTAAAGTCTATATATAGGATTTATTTCAGATCAGTAAAAAAATATGAATAAAATGTCATTTTTTACCGTACCCATCCCCTCCATTCATGGCAATTGGTGATGCCTCTCCCTCCCTTGACATTCCATCCCCACATCCCTCCTTCGGCGCTGCAGTCCACACATAAGGTAATAAATGTTCTTATATATATATAAACAGAATTAGTTTTGTAATAAATTGATGAACCTCAATTCACACCATTCAATATACAAGCTGTTTGCCATGGCCATCGCCCTGCGAGAAGTATAGGGCCTACTTTTCATAAATTTCAAACATGGATAATACATCCTTATAAAGTCATTGGCATAAAAAAATATTTTGTGTTGTTTAAGTAAAGGATCCATGGACTTCACAAACTGTCACTGCAGTCGGTGATAGTTGGAGAGAGGGCTGTGACGGTGGAGAGAAGAGAGAGCTGATGGTAGTGGGGAGGGGATGATGAGTATGGGTAAATATGACATTTTGACTATATTTTTGCCTCATTTGGAAATAATTTGCTATACATAGACTTCAGGGGAATTTTCTTTATTTAATAGATTTTACTGTGACAAGTTTTTCATCTATTACTATAACTGTAATAGTCCCCAACTTCATTTGTCTGGAGTAGGTGACCAATTTTTATCACACAATCATGTGAATGAATGGAAAACTTAAAAAAACTCCTAAATTTTTATGATGTTGATATATTTTCTTGCTGGTAAGCTTTGGACCCATTGTTGTCTCAAAAGAAGAGTTTGGAACCCTTTTTTTTACGTTGGGTATTCTTCTCTTTATGGTTGTATGCTAGGCTGTTCTTTTGATTTTGGCAATTGATGACTGGTTTTTGCGCAGAGTATTGAATGAATTTTTGAATGATACTCTTCCCTAAGCACATGCAAAGGATAAAAAAGTGAGTTTATAGTTCTCCCCTTGTTGTCAATGAGATAATAGACTATGTAAGGTAATTAAGGCACCAAACTATGTGGCCCTAAAGACTGATGTTCCCATAAAACTCATATCAAACTTCTGTCACCAATATGTTTTCTGGTGGTCTGGTTTCCCCTTTTCTCCAATTAGATGGTAAATGGTTATGCTATATTATCTTTCTATGTGAAACTTGTATCAGCCGACCTTTGTTGTTGTGGTCATTCCTCGTTTGTCATCGTCATAGAATTTTGAGACTTCACACTTCGTTGAACCAAAACTATCTGATGAATATGAGAAATATGGTCTGCAATGGAAAGTAATTGTCTGCTTAGAAATGCACTTTGTTTTATCTTATTAATTTTTGGGATGATCAGAAGAAGACTTGCAGCAGCCTAGCAGCCCATCTGTGAAAAAGACTGAAGAGAAGGGTATTATTTTAGTACATGAAGTCAAATGCAAGCTTTATGTGAAGGTAATTCACTATGAGAAAACAATTTGTATCTTTCTATGAAATGCTATATTTTTTGTTATTTTGCTCTGAGTTCTGTGCTTTACTAGTATCTGCTTAACTGGAAATTTGGCATTCTTTTTGTTGCAATATTTGAGTAAGAACTTAAAAATATATACGTTGTTACATTTGTATGAGTAATTTTTTTTATTCATAATTCTCTTATTTTGTAATGATGCATCTAATAGTCACACGAAGATGAAAATGACAACGTGATTGATATGTCAATGTTGTCTTCTTTTATTTTTCATTTTTTTGTTCCAGTGAGTTGATTGGAGACCCCTGTGGAAGACCGGGGGACTGTATCTTGTTGGGATCATTAATTTTCTAAATATTTCTCATAATGTTTTAATAAATTTATTGTAAAAATTAAATATACAAGCTACCCAGCAGTAAATGTCATTTTATATAGTGTGTTGACATGCACCCTGCACACATCAATCACTTATGATATAGGCATGCTCATACAATCTTAATCTATGAAGCACGGACACGGCAAACTCAGTGCCATAGCGGTGTTGGAAACGGGGACACACCATGGACACGTATGGGACACGCCCTTTTTTTTTTGGTATGGGACATGGCGGGGCACATCAAGGAAATCAGGAGAGAAGAAAGAGAGACGAGAGGAGAGAAGAAAGAGAGAAGAGAGGAGTGAGTGACCTGGTATTTGCCCTAACCAGAAGAGACGACGAACTCGATGAGCGATGAGCGATGAGCGACGACCTCGATCTCCATCTGTCTCTGTCTCGCCTTCGATCTCGACGAACAATGACGACTTTCAAAGGTCCGATGACCTTCGACGAGCGACGCCTTCTCTCTCTCTCTCGCCTTCGCGAGCTCTGTTTCTCTCTTCTCACTCTTCAATCAAGCTTTGTGACATATACAGACATATATATAACCTAGAATACTAGTATGTAGATATATATAGGTACGTATATATATATATTTTTATTTATGTTTTTATAAATTACACTCATAAAATATGTATATATATGTTTTTATTTATATATTATATATATAGCCTTTATAAATTATATATATATATCTGTTTTAATTTATGTTTATTTATTTATTTATTATATTTATTGAATTAACGTTATTATGTTAGTTTTTGTTAGCAAATAAAAATAAAAAATTTTGCCATGTCCCCTACTGTGTCCATGTGTGTGCTTCATTTTTCTTAATCTAACGTCTTGGAATTACTACTCATGTTCATGTTACCCGACTTTTGGGCCAAGGTAGTCTTCCCCTTCATATTTATATGCTTGTCTTATTCAAGCTTTACAATTATTGATAGGCATTCCTTATGTGCAAATCGTAGCTGAACTATTGTAACATGCTATGGTGATTTGGTCATAAAAATGCTTTGGAATTTTTAAAGATCTTCATTGATTTTCATTTCCATTGTAAAGAATGATAAAAGGGTGATCTAGCATGAAGCCTTGCCATGTGTTCTCTTCCCCTCTTATAAGAAAAAAGAAACTACCTTTCTATTAAGAACAGGAAAATGGCAAATTTGAAATATTTTGTGGTGCTTATGTTTATTGTAAGTTTGCATCAACATCTTGTGGATTGTCTTCAATTGATGCATTGAGAGCTAGGCATCGTGTATATATGCCTGGTTTTGTTATTTGTTTGATTTTCTTAGTGGGTTAGCTCTCTTCTCTTCTGTTTTGTTCAGTCAAGTGATCCAGCAGATAAAGATGCATGGAAAGATAGAGGCACTGGTCAGCTTTCCATCAAATGTAAAGAGAGTGTTAGCAAGGGCACAAGAGAATCCAAACCAACAATTCTTGTTCGAAATGATGTATGTTTCCTGGTGGTATTTTTTGCTCGTACAAGTTTAATTCAGCTTGAGATCTTGAATTTAGAGTTTATTTCTTACATTAGCATGAGAACTTTGCTCATTTTCAAGCATTGTTTTACTTTTGTTCCCTTTTTCTAATGGCAGGTGGGAAAAGTTTTGCTAAATGCATTGTTATATCCAGGCATCAAGACTAACACACAGAAAAATTCCATTGTTGCAATATTTCATACCACGGTACTTAAAAGTATTGTTATTCACTTTTTATAGCTTTGGGTGGTTCAGTGGACACTGACTTTATTTTCATCGATTTTTTACCCAATCAAACAACTGACTTTTTTTTGTCAAACTTTTGGGTTTCTGACGTCATTTAAAGATTTTGGTGTTCTCAGATGACATTGTTCAGATTTATATCATATCATTTTTGGTTGATGACTTCATTTTGTGCATGATCAATCTTCTAATGGTAACAAATGCATTGAACTCATGGATAAGCAACAGGAACAATTTGTTACCCATCATGGCACTCCAATATATTCTGGTATATCATGCAAGGCTCTAGGCATAATAGTAAACTTCATCATTGAATGATTTGTCCAATGCATATATGTAGTTTTTTTTCCCTTTTTTTTCATGGACTTCATAGTGGGAAATTTATCTTGCCTTTTATGTAGGCTGATAGTGGAACCGACAGTGGTGACAATAATGGTGTTGTGGCACAGACATTCTTAATAAGGACAAAGACTGAGGAGGATCGGAATAAGCTAGCAGCAGCAATTCAGGAATATGCTCCCGATGCTTGAAATATATACTTGGGAAGTGATCACATCCCCCATTGTGTTACCCTTGAGCTTCAACAAATTGCGAATGCAATGTTGTAATATTTGGATTTATGTATTTTTCCTTCTTTGTACTCCAAAATTTTGGTGACCGTGGTTGGTATTGTTGTAGCTGATGCAGGCTCTTTTTTTTGGGGGTTGGGGTTCGAAAAAATCTGGCAAGTGGAGCCAGTATTTAGAAGTTGATGACATATTGGCAATGCATAAGGGGAGTATTAATGCATTTGTATCATATATAGAGGAGAAAACAAGTTTGTTGTGTTGTAAAACCTTAGACCACAACTCTTAATAGAAAAAAAATAGATGCTATGTAGAGTAGCTGTATTCAAAATGTATTTACATTTTTAGACATTAGTTCTGAACATTTCTTTTGTATAGTTTTGGTTTTCAGATGGTTGGTTCCTCTTTGTGCATTGCTTGGGAATGTAAATGCCACAACGAGGACTGAGAAATTAGCCTTCATTAATTCGATATCCATTGTCGAATTCATATCCTATCTTTGCTCTCTGCTCTCAAGTAAAATTCATTTTTGCAACAAATTCTTCTGACCCAGAAGTATGGAATGAATTTTAGCCATAAATTGATATTTTTGGATAAAATTTATGGATTTGTAGTACACCACTAATATTGCCGCCACCTCTATCACTACCTCAAGGCATCATAAGACAAAAATTAAAAGATATAATTTAAAATTACTATGTTTTAAATTTAATAATATACATACCAAATTTCTTATTATCTCAACACTCAAATTTTTGGCAAACAATGTTTAACTTCAAAAGTTTAGAATTCAATTTTTTGTTTTATCAAACACCACGGGTAGATCTTTTGGCAAAATGTGCTGCATTTTTAGCTTTTAACTTCAGGGAACTTTTTTGAAAAAATTACAATTCAGTGATATTTTCACAAAATAATTATAAATTTATTAAAAAGTTTTAAATTTTAATTATTAAAATTTATTACTCATCTTAAATTATTTTTAAAAACTTAAACTGGATTGTAATTTCTCAACTTTTTATCTCCCCTTTTCTTTCCAATGGCGAAGGTTATTGAAACAAAAAAAATTTAAATATTTTATGAAGAATTTATAGGTTTCTCGCCTAAGTACTCAAAGGCGTTTGTAGTCCAACGGTTAGGATAATTGCCTTCCAAGCAATAGACCCGGGTTCGACTCCCGGCAAACGCATGTTTTCATATCTTACAATTTTCTCTAGAGGGCATGAAAACAATATATATTTTTTTGAATTTGTTTAGTATGAAAATAATGAAAGTTATAAGAAAATTAATTTGTTTGTACAACTCATAATAGCGTTATAACTAAATTTATAATTTCTTACAAAAAATATAAAAAAGTACAACAAAATTTTCATATCTTACAATTTTCTCTAGAGGGCTTTAACCATTTTGGCTAGGTTTTGATTAAGATGTGAAAAAAAAAAAAAAAAAAAAATTGAATTTGTTTAGTATGAAGATAATGGAAGTTATAAGAAAATTAATTTGTTTGTATAACTCATAATAGTATTATAACTAAATTTATAGTTTCTTACAAAAAATATAAAAAAGTACAACAAAATTAAAATATGCTATAAAAGTAGTTAGTTATAATTATAATTTCTATTTTCTTACAAAATTTTTATCCTAATCAAATAGAAAATATATATATATTTTTTTCTTTTACTTTACTTTCTATCATTTTCACTTTTTATTATTTATTTCTTTCTAATCAAACAGAACCTTTATATTTTGTTTTTTTCCCCCTAATTTAAAATTAATACATATTGTACAAACAAACTTTATTATCAAATTGTAGTAAATCATGATTAGCCATTGCTTCTTTCTAAAACAAGTAGTTTAGATAATGTTGGCTTATTTTGGAAACATGGTTAAAAGTTAATTTTTTGAATTTTTTATTTTTTAATCATATCATATTTCTATTTTTTTGGTACGTTTTTCTGAAAAAAATATATAGAAAAAGGGTCAAAAAAACTAACTTTTAACGTACTTTCCAAAATAAGCCGTTGTGTGTGAAGTAAAACACGTGAATAGTAGTCATATTTTTAGGGGTGAATATGATCCGAATTAGTTTTGTTTGGGATAAAATCAAGACCAATTAGTTGTTTACGATTCCATAAAAAATTAGAACAAATCCATTTGAATCATGAAATCAATTCGAACCAAACCATTTAAACATGATTCGGTTCGATTTGAAATTACGGTTTTAGATAATATGTTCACATGAAAAATCATATAATATTCATCAAATAAATTAGTATTAAGCAAACATTATTCAATATTAATATATGCATGATTTTTCAAAACATAAACATATTGTTCTATTGTACGAGCACGAAATAATCTTCTTGTATAATCCTGTTGATCAAGTTTGCACTCTTCCAAACGTCGTCACTTTGTCACCTGAAAACACAAACGTGAGCTAGCCGACGGGTGTGTACCGGAAACCTCTCCGATGCCTAAGTCAACAAAATAGACAAAAGCTCTGTGTATTCGAGAATCAAAGTTATGATACCTGTAAATAGGTCTTGTCATGAGCTTTTGTAGGTTTTGCCTGGCACAATCTTAGTAGGACTCTTTCTTTATTCCTCAATGTAGAGTCCTCATAGGAATCATACTTCTGAAAGATAATGCCTATCCTTCAACACCCTTTTCACTGCTCTAACAGTGAAATGGTTTTACTAGGGTTGTATGATTACACAACCGAGCTAACACCGCTATATTTAGGCAACAGCTTCAACCGTGCTTCACCTAACTCAGTCCCACCTTGCTCTTACAATTTAGCTCATCGCGTCCACATATGACGCCTTAGCTCGGTCACCGTTCAACTATACCTCGAACCGGAGTATATGAACCGAGCTATTTGCAACCATTTCTTTGACCGGAGTAATTGTCACCACACTTAGACCGAACTAACAAAGCTAGGTCCAATCTGTGAAGCCCTTTTTACTACGGCCCACAAATCGGTCTACTGTAATGACTGGGCCTAGCTCGACCCTAAGTGTACATAAAAACCCCCTCTCATCTACCATTAACTTAAACAAATATAATATCTAGTAGTATTCAACATGTAATAAGTATAAAACTCTCATCAAATAAACATTGTCGTAGCAATAACAATTACAAAATTAAAATTATGCTAAATAATTAAAAAAATCAATTTTAGTGACATAGAAAAGAGAGAAAACTGAAATGATGATTTAGTTTTATATATAAGATGATAGAATTGTATGCATTAAAATATATAGTAGGTATATAGCTTAAGTTATATACGACTAGTTCGGATTCAATCCGAAACTATTGACTTAAATTCAAAACCGATCCAAGAGATTAATTCTGTAATTTTCCAAACTAGAACCGAACCACATATTAGAAAAACCAATTCAAACCTACTAAATTAGATTGGATCGATTCGATTTGCGAATTTTCCAAATTCTTTACTCAGTCCTACATATTTTCATAGAGTTTGTTCATATGACTAGTAGTTTAATTTTGGAAAAAAAAATAAAAAAAATCCCTTTCTCTGGACATATTGATCGATTGATATCAGTCCATGAATTGGTCAAAACAATTAGTATGGAACTACAGCTGTGTCAAAAAGAATTTTCCAAGTTTAGAATATGAAAAGGAAAAGAGTTTTCCAAGTTTACAATATGAACATCAGAAACTGATTCCTAACTTGCAAATCAGAACAAACCCATTGTATTCTACTTTTCCAACCCATCACATATTCAAAGTTCCCAAGTTATTGTCTAGCTCCATATGAAAGACCATACTTTTCAATTTTACAAAGTCAACTAATCTCTCTCTCTCTCTCTCTCTTTCTCTCTCTCTCCATAAACATACATTGCTAGAAAAAACTAATATTTTAATAAATTACATATTAGTATGTACGTTTTGAAACATGGTATATTTCTGTTCAAAAACAGTAAATTTAGTGATCTAAAATGACTCCAAAACTATTTTTTAATATATTTTCTTAAATGTTACGTTAGGAGGAAAAAAAATCAAATATATGAATTAAAATATAAGGTGAGTTAAATCTTAACAAGACAAAAACATTAAAAATGGGCCATAATTTTTATAGAAATAATTTGTTACATAAAAATAATAATAATAATAATAATTAAACCTAATAGTTAAAAGGAAATTACCTTAAAAGTATCTTAAATTCTCAAGTGTAATATAAATAAGTCTACTCCTATTGTATCACATTTTAGAGGATATGGCATACCACGTTTCCGTTCCATGTACCGGAACGATCCATGTTCTAGGTAACATAGCCATACACACTTGGAAGAATGAGAAAACTTGGGTATCTTGAATTGATAAGAATAGTCTAATAATAATACAGGAAAAAAAAATAAGGAAGAGATGAGTTCCCAGAAAATTTATTTGTTACTATAAATAACATTAAAAACTGTTTTCCCAATCCATAACAATATGATTGTTAGAAACTCCAATAATTCGTAGGTGTACTAAAAACTTACAAAAACCTTCCAAATCAGACAAAGCATCATCACTCTCCATCACACCAAATTAGCATGCTGGCCCTAATACACCCAGAGTTCAGCTCCTTGATGATTCATCGGTTACTACAATCTAGGCTGCAATAGGTATGTATTTTAATTCCTTCTAGCAAACAAGGGATGATCTCAAAGATGAGGCACTAGGAACATGCGTGCAAGATGCCCAACGGATGACTGACTCAGTCACAATGAGATCAAGCTGATCAAGCTCACCGAGTCCAATTGTGTGATTCCTCTTGCTGTGGATGCCTGAAAACTTGGAACCGTTTGGCCCTCCTCCCCTCCGAAGCTCTGTCCTCTGCTCTGTTTCTCCTAACTGGTGTTTAATGGATAGTGAAGGATCCAACATAAACAGCTTTACCAAAGAATCTGCATTGCCCAACAAGAAACAGTTAGCTAAAGTTTTCTTTTTTAAATGGAAAAATGTACTAAATTGGTAGGTGAGCATAGTAGCACCAATTAGTTAGGGCACATCCAGTATTAACAAGTTAAAAGCTAATAATCAGAAAGCAAAAACTAAAAACACCTCTCATCATTCCTAATAAATTAACTTTTTTAGCTTGTTTGAATTATTTCTGCCTCATAAGGTTTAAGCAAAAGTGGCACCAAACATTGAGGCACATATTTTCAAAAAAAAAAAAAAAGGTGACTCCATAAGCTACACCAAACAAGCCCCATGTAGGGAACAGTTGTTCAAAACTGTCTTTGATTCCCACATCTACAGCTTAGAAGAGTTGATCTTTAGCCTAAAACTAGCCATATAGTTCTTCACAATGACACAAAATATCTTGCGTTCTTACTCTTGGAAATCATTTTTGGAACAAAGGCTGACCATTTATGCCTCAATCATCCCATATTGCTAGTATCTATTCCCACCAACCACCACCAGCATTCATACATTATTTTTTTCACAATTTTATAGGCACTGAAACATAAGGTGTTGATATGTGGGAAGTAAATACACCTCTATGACTGACATCCACCCTTGTCATTTTGGCTGTGAAACCTGATGAATCATCATTGCCTTGCTTGACTTCTGATCTTGGACTGAAGAATGTAAAGCTAGGCATTGAGGGAATTGGGGATCGGAACTCTAATGTATTAGATTCACAACAACTGCTGAAAGAAAACCCTCCAAATACTGAGCTAGGTGTGCCACTGTCAGCCAGGAAAGAGGAAAATGATGATCTGCAGGTGAATGTTGGTGAATTGAACCCTTCACTATCAATAGTTGCAGGTGATACATCAGTGAAACTATAATCCCGACTTCTGGCAATGGAAGGGGTTGAGGAAGAAACACAACCAACTTCAAGTTGTCCACAACTCATGCTGTCTTGTTTGTTCGGTTCTTGAGTTGCTTGTGTACAATCCTTCATCCAAGAGTGAGCTGTAAAGGACCGTAGCTTCATTATAAACAAAAAAACAGAATAGAAAAACCATGTCCAGCATTTATAAGCAGTTTTAAAATCTCAAGTAAAAAGCATACAATCTGACATTTAAAATTTGTGTAATCTGGAGTATTAGTTTTGGCCTCATCAGTGGCAGTAAGCATCTCACTGACATGAAATCAACACAGTACAATCAAGATAAATGAAAAATATAACTAAAGGGAGAAACATTGGATCACTTGGATGGGTAATTAGCCTTTAAAACCCAACTTAGTGTTAGAATATATGCTAAAATCATTCCATTCTTTTGTTTCCTTGTTTAGATTATATTGTGATTCCTTAATTAGGGCCTTAGGGCTTCCTTTGTAACAGTTTGGGTTGATTAATATAAAAGGGTGTGATATCATGATCATACTCTAAGTCAGTTTTCTCTCAAACAGACATGGTATCATAGCTATAGAATTTTTACCTCATCACCCATCCCTTCCATCATCATCCGATAGCCATCCAGGTCCAGCCGATTGCTCACAGGTGCTGTCGGCTCTTCTTTAGTCCTTCTAGGGCAAGCCGACAGCCTCTCTAGGACTTTCGGACCTCCTGGAGACTGCCTAGGGCAAGCCGATAGCCACTCCAACTCGTTCGGACCTCCTGGAGACTGATTAGGGCAAGCCGCCTACCCCTCTATGTGTTTTGACTCTCGTTCGGACCTCCTGGGGACTGATTAGGGCAAGCCGACTGCCCCTGTGTGTTTTGACTCTCTTGCCTAGCTACCCAGTGCCAGATAAGACATTCTATGGTTTGACCATCCTTGTCTAGTATTTGTCTCTCACCCAGGTGACAATCGTTGTTGATCTGGACTCTAAAATCTGTTTTGATTGGCCCTGAGTCTCTTAGTTCTCTTTTATTTTATTTTTATTTTTTGAGTCAATATATGGCCTGATTCCTTGGTGTGCCTCTCCCTCCATGATTTGTGTTTGTTTTAGGTAACTTGATCCCAATTATTTTTCCCCTTCCTCCAGCAGTAGTGATTATTGTAGGGTGTTGGTTTGATAGTAGCATTTTTAAGATGGCTGAAATTACCAGTGAATCCACCACTAGTTCCCAACCACTTATTGGGGTAAGTCCCATCATGACTACAACATCCGAAAACCTCAACTCTGGCCTTAAAATCACCACCTCTCTATTTAATAGTCAGAATTATCTTGCATAGTCACAAAGTTTGACACTTATTTTAAAAAGTTTGGGAAAATTATGTTGATGGGAGAATCACAGCACCTAGCATCACTGGTACTGGATATGATCAATGGGAGATTACCAACTCTTTGATAATGGGGTGGCTCATTCATTCCATGGTTCCTGAGATTGGAAAATTTTATTTAGCTATGGAGACTGCCCAAGATGTTTGGTAAGCAGTAGCTACTACATATTCCCGGAAGGGGAGTTTTTCTCAGTCATTTGAATTGCACTGGTCTATTGAGTGCTCAGTACAAGGGGAGCGGACAGTTCTTCAGTATTACACCTTTCTGACTAATGGTTGGAAAAGCCTAGATCATCTCCTCGACTATAAGCTTGTCTGCACAGTTGACTCAGTTGGTTACCAAAAGTTTCTTACTCAGGAGAGAGTCTTGAAGTTTCTGGAAGGCCTTAATGTGGAGTTTGATCCCGTCCGAAGTCGTGTCCTTGGCATAGATTTTCCTTCATTTCTTCAGGAGGCCTTTGCTTATGTCCAGAATGAAAGAGTCGTCGGTCTGCTACGTTACCATCGCCTCCTACAAACCGTTCAGCATTACTTTCTGCACCTTCTTGAGATGGAATTGGTTTGTCACTTCCTTCCTCTCATCCTTCCAGGAAGGATGATTTGTTCTGTGATTACTGTCGTTGGCCGAGGCATACCCATGAAACTTGTTGGAAACTTCATGGTACTCCATCAGGGGGTCGTGGGGATCACTCTGGTCATAGAGGCGGTCGTTCTAGTCAATTGAGAGGACGTGGGTCTCACTCTCGTGCTCATCAGTCCAGTGCTGCAGAGACACATGATTTTGCTCTGGTTATCTAGACTTATGATTTGGTCTCTGGTATGTCATCTTCTGAGTTTGAGGATGCTCTGCTCAATCTAGTTGATCACCGGTCTTCTGTTCCTCCAGGTGCATCTTCTGTCTCGTCTTCGTTTGCCCGTTCAGGTAACTTAGCCACATCTTCTAGTGCTTTTCTATCCCATAAAGCTTTGCCATGGATTATTGATTCGAGTGCCTCAGATCATATGTCTGGGTCTTCTGATCTCTTCTCAAACTATACACCAGCCTCTGGTTAGGATAAAGTTAAGATAGCTGATAGTACTATTTCTTTTGTCTCCGGGAAAGGTTTAATCCGTGCCACCCGTTTTCTACCTTTGTCTTCTGTTTTACATGTTCCGAATTTTTTTGTTAACCTATTGTCGTTGAGTCGTCTTACTCGTGATTTGAACTGTAGTGTAACTTTTTTCCCTGATTCTTGTCTTTTCCAAGATCTTATCACGAACAAGACGATTGGCAATGGTAGAACAGAAAATGGTCTCTATATCCTCGATCAGACTGACCAACTGGCTCATCATTCCATCCAAACTCTAGCCACCAAGGAAGATTCATGGTTGTGACATCGGCGTCTAGGACATCTATCTTTTTTATTACTTAGACATTTATTTCCTTATGTTTTTATCAAAAATAAAGTCTCTGAGTTTTATTGCGAGTCTTGCCAACTTGGCAAACAAATAATAAAAGTTCGGTTCTTTTTTCCTTAATTCATTCGGATGTTTTGGGCCCATCTCGTGTGATGTCAATCAAAGGTCATAGATGGTTTGTTACGTTTATAGAAAACTGCTCTCGTGCTACTTGAGTGTACCTCATGAAAAACAAAAGTGAGGTTTTCTCTGCATTTCAAAACTTCCATAAGATGGTTAGTACCCAATTTGGAGCAGTTGTAAAAATATTGCACTTTGATAATGGGAGTGAGTACATTGATTCTAGGTTGGCGAAATATTTTTTCACTCATGGTATTATCCATCAAACATCTTGCACTGACACCCCTCTATAGAATGGGTTTACCGAATGCAAGAATTGTCATCTTCTTGATATAGCTCGCTGTATGTGTTTTTCTATGGGCGAACCTCAAGCCTATTAGGCTGAAGCTGTTCTCACTACTGCATACCTCATTAACCATCTTCCTACACAAGTCTTACGAAAAAGGACTCCTCTCCAAGTTCTCTTCAGTTCTAAGTCTCTATTTTCCATTCCTCCAAAAACCTTTGGCTATGTGTGTTTTTTTCACAATCAATTTCCTTCTTGGGATAAGTTAGATCCTCGTTCTCTCAAATGTGTGTTCTTGGGTTACTCTCCTACCTAAAAAGGGTACAAGTGTTATCATCCTCCCTATCATAAATGGTTTGTGTCTATGGATGTTACCTTCTTTAAGTCTCACTCCTATTTCTTGTCTAGCCCAGTGTCCCAGTCACCTCATTAGAGGGAGTCTTGAAGTGAAGAGATTCCTATTGCTTCTATCATCCCTGGCCCAGTAGTGATACCTATTACTCTAATTTTGTGTCTTATACTCATTTGTCTCCTTCATATAAAGCCTTTGTGTCAAAAATTTCCTCTATTAGTATACCTAATCATTTTCATGATACACTTACTATTCCTAAGTGGAAACTAGCCATGGTGGAGGAAATGAAAGCACTTCATATGAATGGCACTTGGGATTTGACTGAGTTATCTAGGGACAAACGACCTATGGGGTGCAAATGAGTGTATACTGTGAAGCACAAGGCAGATGGTTCAATTGAGCAATATAAGGCTCGACTTGTGACAAAAGGTTTCACTCAGACCTATGGGGTGGACTACCAAGAGACATTTGCTCTAGTTGCAAAGATGAATTCAATCAGAGTACTTCTTTCTCTTGCAGCTAATCTGGATTGGCCACTTTATCAGTTTGATGTGAAGAATGCTTTCCTGCATGATAACCTAGAAGAGGAGGTGTATATGAACATTCCTCCTGGCTTTGAAACTCTTCAAACTAAAGGTAAGGTGTGTCGACTTTGGAAGTCATTATATTGCCTTAAACAATCCCCAAAGACTTGGTTTGAGAGGTTCACTCAGGCAATGCTGAAATACGGCTTCAAACAGAGTCAGACTGTTCATACTCTGTTTGTTAAATATTCCTCTCATGGTAAGACTACAGCTGTCATTGTATATGTGGATGATATAGTGCTTACAGGAGATGATATCGAAGAAATCCCTTTGTTGAAAAAGTATTTAGCCAATGAGTTTGAAATCAAAGATTTGGGGAACCTGGAGTACTTTTTGGGGATTGAAGTGGCTAGGTTCAAAGATGAGATGTTCATCTGTCAGAGAAAATATGTCCTTGACCTGTTGAAGGAAACATGGATACTTGGAAGTAAAACCTGTGAACACACCACTGGAACCTAATCAAAAACTTTGCGATGATAGTGGGGGAGCAATCATTGATAGAGGGAGTTATTAGAGACTAGTTGGTAAGCTCATTTACTTATCCCATTCTCGTTGCTGTTAGTGTGGTTAGCCAGTTTATGCATACTCCTCATGAAATACACTTGGCGGCAATTATGAGAATTTTGAGATACTTGAAATCTTCTCTTGAAAAAGGTCTTTATTTTTCCAAACACGATCATTTTAGTGTGGAAGCTTATACAAATACTGATTGGGCAAGATCAGTAACTGATAAGAGATCCATTTCAGGGTATTGTACCTTCGTTGGAGGCAATTTGATTACTTTGAGAAGTAAGAAACAGAATGTGGTTGCTAGGTCTAGTGCAGAAGCTGAGTTTAGAACTATGGTACAAGGTGTGTGTGAGCTCTTGTGGATCAAGTTGTTATTGCATGATTTAAGAATTGACCAAAAAGACTCCATGCAGCTATATTGTGATAATAAGGCTGCCATCAACATAGCTCACAATCCAGTTGTTAAGCATGTTGTTTGGAAATCAACTTTCGAACGAAAATGGTGTGAATTAAGAAAAAAGTTGTGTGTAAATAGAAGCTCCCCAACCTCAAATGCTTCCATGTGCCCTCGCTCCTTCACCGAGCTCCGCTCTCCATTCCATGCAACTAAGGTCATCACAGTTCTTCATATAGATTCCTTTTAGCTAAACTTTCTTAAAACAAATGAATGTGTACTTTCCTAAAACAAAACAACTAAACATAGAATAAAAGTACTTAAACAAGGTAATCCTTGTTAGGAAAAGAAAAACAAAATTAAGAACATGAAATAGAATTGACGCCCTAACATTGACCCTTTCACTAATCACCAATAATAATAACACATTGTAAGATATATTAATCGCAGATCACAGCACATACTAATTAATTGCAGTAGCAAAAAGAAGATAATTAAGTGACGGAGAGCCAAAAAAGAAATTTATTTGGGATGAAGAATACCATTAAAAAAAAACACCATTAAATTAATGAAATTGATGGCCACATCTCAGTTTTCCTAGAAAAGGCATTAAAAACATGTGGACTAAAAACTGAACACTCTTACAACTTTTCAAGGACAATATCTACTAATGGTGCTGTAGTGTTCATAAAAAAACTTTTGGAAAGAGAGCTCTAGAATCTCACAAAAACAACTTACGTATAAAATATAATGCAATCAACATACCCAAAACTTGTTTAGCAGTTAGCCTCTTTGAAGGATCTACGCATAGCATTCCAGTGACAAGGTCCTTTGCAGATGCTGATATGCGATCCCATAATTCAGGAGGGAATTGTAGATCCGCAGCCCTAACAGCATCAAAGATTTTCGATTTAGTCTTTCCCCAAAAGGGTGGCAGACCACTCAAAATGATGTAGAGGATAACCCCAGCACTCCACACATCGGCAGCCTGATTATAACCACCTGTCAGTACCTCAGGAGCTATATAAAATGGACTCCCAACAGTCCCATGCAAATTTTTCCCTGCAGATACAAAAACCCATAAGCTTAAACAGTTAAAATCATTGATGCAAATTAAATCGAACAAATATAACAATAAACTTACCAGGTCTAAAATAGGTTGCAAGACCGAAGTCTGCCAATTTGATTGGCGAAGAGAATGATTTTGTTGCCAAGAGGATGTTCTCCGGCTTCAAATCTCTATGAACAATACCCTTTTCATGGCAATACGTAACCACTCGAATCAAGTGCCTAAAAAGAACTTGAGCCTCATACTCAGAAAACCTTCCATGCTTCTCAAGCTGATGAAAAAGCTCTCCACCTGCACAAAGCTCCATTACAAGATGCACATAATCCTCATCCTCATAAACTGCCTTGAGATCAACAACATTTGGGTGCCCAGATAGCTTAGACATTATCTCAATCTCAAGCTTGACACTGCGCACATCGTCCATTGTCACCAATCTATCTTTAGCAATAGATTTGCAAGCTAACACATCACCAGTCAATTTATCAGAGCATGCCCGAATTATCCCAAATTGCCCCCATCCTAGTCGCTCTCCAAGAACATATCGATCCTTAAAATTTGAGGTCTGGGTCGAGTCCAAAATCGTTTCAGTTAGGATTGCAGCTTTGTAACAGTTGCAGGGTTGACTCCGAGGCTTGCTATTGCTATCGCTCCTCGCTACTTCCATAACAAAATTTCAATGCTCTAGATATGATTTAGCTTAGCACCAATCAAAACATCTGCAACATTTCATAATTTAGGTTACCTATGCAAGGGTAACCTAAATCCAGAAATTGAGATCATTTCAAAGAGACCATTCTTCAAGCATTTTACACCAATTCAAATCCTCCGGAAAAAAGGGGTTCTTCCACCTAGTTAACCTTGTACTATTATGATGCACAAATGTTTTTTTTTTTGACGAAGAACCGCACAATTATCAAAGTTCCAAGCCTTAGATGTCCCGTGAACCACCTATGCAGGTTCCAATTCAGAAAGTTTTCAAATTTCAGAAACTTGATTGAATTATAGGCTATATGTATAGAACACACAAACAACAAATCTATCTCTCTCTCTCTCTCTCTCTCTCTCTCTCTCTCTATATATATATATATATGTGGGTATGTGTGTGTGGAAAGAGAGGAGGGAGGAGCCTAGAAGTAGGAAAGAGAAAAGGGAAATAAAATAAAAATCAAATTTGTCATAAAGATCTAGAATAGAATTCAAACTCAACACAGAAGAACAAATCATTCAAAATAGGTTTCAAAGTCAGCACAGACAACACAAATTCACATTTACACTTGGTTTTCCCCAAACTACCTGCGATTCTTCATACAAGACTAAAACTAAAAATTGTAAAAAAAAAAAGAAAAAAAATCAAAATTTTTCCATACAGAATCACTAAAACCACATCGACATCAGTCATTGACGGTCAGATTTGATCACAAACTAGATTAAAATATAACAAATCAAACGACCCACATTCTACAATTTCATATAAAGAGAGAATGAAGAGAGAGAAACTTTGGTGGGTTGATGCAGGAAGAGACTGAAGAAGAAGAAGAAGAAGAAGAAGTCCGTTATGGCAAAGCCTCTTCTCCACAAGGTCGAAAGACTCCAAAACCAGTAATTTGCGTTCTCACTCACACAAACGGACTTTCAAAAGCGCTTCTCTCCCCCAAAAACACATCAAATTTTGTTAGTATAATATTACTCTTTCAAAAATTACAAATACCTCTTTTTATAGATTTTTTTATTTAAGAGAATTAATAAAAATTTTTACTATTTTTTTATACATTAATAAAGTTATTTAAATTATTAATCAAAATATATTTTTAATATCATTAAAAATTAGTAATTAATTTAACAATTAATTTAACAATTTATTAATAAATAAATTATTTATTATAAAATTAATTTTTTTAAAAAAATGGAATGTAATTTTCAATACTTTACATTTAAGCAAATATATTTATAAGAGTTATGTTAGAAATTTCAAATAATTTATTAAATTTTTTACTAAATATCTCATATGATGTGAGACTCACATGGGTGTGAGATCCACATGTGAGCAAAAATGTTAGAGGTCCCAAAAATTCTACTAAAAGTTTTACCAAATGTCTCACATGGGTGTGGGATCCACATGGGACCCACATTGTGTGGTCCCACACCCATGTGAGATATTTGGTAAAACTTTTGGTAAAATATTTGGGGTCTCTAGCATTACTCTTTGTCTTTTTACGAAAAAATATACAGAAAAATAGAGAGATGATGTGATAAAAAAAAATAAAGAAATAAAAAGATAAATTATTTTAAAGAAGCCAAACTTGACCTTTAGGCCAAGCTTGGCATCCTCTAAAAAATCTAAAAAGTCAAAAAGTCACTATCCTATTTAAGTCACATCATCTTATTTAAGTCACATCACCTCTCTAACACATCGCTTCAAACCCAACCCAAATTCAACCCATATTTCATAAAAAGTTAAAAAGTACACTTATTTAGTCTTCCCAAACTTAGCTTAAATTAAAAAAATTAACTTTTAATTAGCTTTTCAAATCAACCAATAAATTCGCTGCATTAATCAATGACGTAACCAATCACACATCAACAAGTGTCACATGCCTTTTAGTAATATGAGCCATCAATGACCTGATGCATCCCACGTGGACAGGTGAGTACACGTTATGGGGCATTAAATGTACAACAATACTTAAGTGCATATAAAGAATGTAATTTAAAGGCTATAAGAATTAATTACTTTTACTGGCATAAATTGTCTTTATTATATTATTTTAGTAGATTTTATTTGAAATTCAAAAGTCCTATGACAAGAAGTTATATTAGTGAATGTAATTTAAAGGCTATAAGAATCAATTACTTTTACTGGCATAAATTGTCTTTATTATTTTATTTTAGTAGATTTTATTTGAAATTCAAAAGTCCTATGACAAGAAGTTATACTAGTAAAAGGGCAAAGTACATATTCTTCTTGAGATTTAGTTAAATTATAAATATTTTTTTAATATTTTAAAAATTACATCTCGTCCTTTAACAATTAATTTCGTTAATCGTAAATTAACTAAAATACCCTTATGTCAAGTCAATACTTGTATTTTATATAGGTTCAACAATTTCATAAACTTTTCTTTCTCCATTTCTTCATCTGAGAGAGAGATGAAAAAGGCAATGCAAAGGGAAAAATGAGGGTATCGTTATTTATCGTTGGATGCATAGATCTAAAAGAAGAAGAGACAATGCAAAGAAGTTTAGATCGTTAAACACTGTAAGTGATCCATTTTTACTCTCATAGTAAGGCCAAGTTTGGCATAACCTAAATAATACAAAAAGTCAAAAAGTCACTATCCTATTTAAGTCACATCATCTTATTTAAATCACACCACCTCTCTAACACATCACATCAAACCCAACCCAAACTCAACCCATATAAGTCAAAAAGTCAAAAAGTGCACTTTTTTAGAACATCCCAAACCAACCCTAAGTACTGAAATTTGGGGGTTTAGGATTCTTTGTTCGTGATTTTTTTTTTTTATAAAATTTGTTTTAGGATTATTTGCTTACGAAATTTTGTGAGTTTGTCTTTAATCGATTTTTTTGGGTCTATATTTTACCCTGTTAAAATAAAAAATAAAAAAAGTCATTGACGGTCAGATTTGATCACAAACTAGATTAAAATATAACAAATCAAACGACCCACATTCTACAATTTCATATAAAGAGAGAATGAAGAGAGAGAAACTTTGGTGGGTTGATGCAGGAAGAGACTGAAGAAGAAGAAGAAGAAGAAGAAGTCCGTTATGGCAAAGCCTCTTCTCCACAAGGTCGAAAGACTCCAAAACCAGTAATTTGCGTTCTCACACAAACGGACTTTCAAAAGCGCTTCTCTCACATCAAATTTTGTTAGTATAATATTACTCTTTCAAAAATTACAAATACCTCTTTTTATAGATTATATCTAAGAGAATTACTAAAATTTTTAACTATTTTTTTATACATTAATAAAATTATTTAAATTATTAATCAAAATATATTTTTAATATTATTAAAAATTAATAATTAATTTAACAATTTATTAATAAATAAATTATTTATTATAAAATTATTATTATTTTTTTAAATGGAATGTAATTTTCAATACTTTACATTTAAGCAAATATATTTATAAGAGTTAGGTTAGAAATTTCAAATAATTTATTAAATTTTTTACTAAATATCTCATATGATGTGAGACTCACACTCATGTGGGTTTATGTGAGATCTATGCATGTAAGAGATTTAGGGTTGGTTTGGAAAGTGAGTTGGCTTTTTGATTTTTTGACTTTTTTAGCTATTTTAGCCTGTGCTAAAAAGTCTGGTTTGGGAAGGATTTTTTGACTTTTTGAATTTTTTGACTTTTTTTGTGAGAGAATAATGTAATGATTATGGGTTGTATGTAATATTTTATTTTTTTTAACTAAAATAACTTATTTTGTTTTTTGTGGCTGAAATAATCAAATTAGCCTTAATAGATTATTTAGGATCCATAATATTTTAATATTTATAATTTACCCAAATATTTTTATGAGTAATGCTCAGAACTCAAAATGTTCTATCAATATTTTTATAAAATGTCTTACATAAGTGTACATTCGCATAGAACCCAGGTAAGGTGGATCCTACATTTGTATAAAGCATTTGATAAAATATTTGTGATCCTAACATTTTTCATATTTTATACTACTACAATGGGGCCATTTGGAAACATTAAAAAAAAAAAAAAAAAAGAAGAAGAAGATTAATAGTCAACTTTTAACTCATTTTAATTTATATCACTTTTAGAGATTATTTAAGATGATCTAAATAAATATACTTTTTATCTTTTTATGAAAAGATATACAAAAAAATAGAAAGGTAATATGATAAAAAAAATAAAAAAATAAAAAGATAAATTATTTTAAAAATGTCAAATTTGACCTTAAATTAAAAAAATTAACTTTTAATTAACTTTTCAAATCACCCAATAAATTCGCTGCATTAATCAATGACGTAACCAATCACAAATCAACAAGTGTCACATGCCTTTTAGTAATACGAGCCATCAATGACCTAATGCATCCCACGTGGACAGGTGAGTACACGTTATGGGGCATTAAATGTACAACAATACTTAAGTGGATATAAAGAATGTAATTTAAAGGCTATAAGAATTAATTACTTTTACTGGCATAAATTGTCTTTGAAAAATGCTTGGGAGCACTAATTAGTGCTCCCACTAATTAGGTGGCAGTGGGTCCCGTCATGGATGATGTGATGTTTTGATCTTGGAGTTGTAATTTTTTTTTATTTTTTTTATTTTTTTAATGCATTAGTGCTATTAGTGGTGATACTTTTAGTGGGATGACTCATTGTTGATTGTCTTTATTATATTATTTTAGTAGATTTTATTTGAAATTCAAAAGTCCTATGACAAGAAGTTATATTAGTAAAGGGAAATGCTAAAGAGCTCTAAATCTAGAGTTTTAATTTGAGCTCTAATGATGTGTCAAAGTAAAAAAAAAAACAAAATAAAACAAAACAAGGCACAAATATCACATCAGGGTGGGTCTCACCTTCCCCTTAGAGCTATTAGAGCTCTTATATTAGAGCTCTAAAGCATTTTTGATTAGTAAAAGGGCAAAGTATATGTCCCTTGAGATTTAGTTAAATTATAAATATTTTTTTTGATATCTTAAAAATTACATCTTGTCTTCTAACAATTAACTTCATTAACTAAGATCGTAAATTGACTAAAATGCCCTTATGTCAAGTCAATACTTGTATTTTATATAGGTTCAACAATTTCATAAACTTCTCTTTCTTCATTTCTTCATCTGAGAGAGAGATGAAAAAGGCAATGCAAAGGGAAAAATGAGGGTATCGTTATTTATCATTGGATGCATAGATCTAAAAGAAGAAGAGACAACGCAAAGAAGTTTAGATCGCTGATTAAAGAAAAAATTAAAATTTGCACGTCTATATTGCTTTGAAACACTGTAAGTGATCAATTTTTACTCTCATACTAAGCACTGAAATTTGGGGGTTTAGGATTCTTTGTTCGTGATTTTTTTTTTTTTATAAAATTTGTTTTAGGATTATTTGCTTACGAAATTTTGTAAGTTTGTCTTTAATCGGTTTTTTTGGGTCTATATTTTACCCTGTTAAAATAAAAAATAAAAAATAAAATAGGGTTTAAAGGTTTGTTTTCAATATATTTTAGGGTTTTTTTGGAGGGGTTTCTTTCTACCTTTTTTTTAATTAAAATTTTGGGGTTATACGGTTTGTTTTCAATTAGTATTTTAGGGAATTTTTATTTTTATTTTTATATTTGTTTTCTACTCTTTCTTTTACTAAAATTTTGGGTCTGCTTCAATTAGTATTTTTAGGAATTTATTTGGTTTGTTTTCTACTCTTTCTTTTTATAAAATTTGGGTTTAGGTGGTTTTTTTGGGTTTATTTTCTACTCTTTTATTTATCAAAATTTTGATGTTGTAATGTAAGCTTGTTGTGTAGATACCTTCTGACATTCATGAATTTTGTGATGAATTTTTTGTATTTAGGACAATGGCTGATCCCATGCTTCATGACATACTAGTACACTTTAATGGCTCTATAAGTCACATTTTGAATGTTAATCCTTACAAGTATAACTACATGCAATTGTTGGCTGATGCTTGTGAAGCTACCCTCACTAATGTACCTGGGAATTTTGGTGTATGATTAAATTTGTACTTTACAAATACACACACTAAGAGTAAGATGGAGGTTAAATCTGATCAGGATGTCATTGAAATGTTTAGTTCAAATTGTGGTACTAAGGTGATTAATATTTTTCTGGAACTTGATCAACTTTTACCTTCATTTGTCGTAACTAATACTCCTACTAGTGGAGAGGGACACGTGAGTAGTAATGGCACAAGTACGAAAGGTGGTGTGGGTAGTAACATTGGAAATATGTCGATTGTATTTGATGATTTATTTAGTAATGTGGATGACTACAATGATGTTGATTGGACTGAGTTAGGGGATTTTGAATTTAGTGAAGCAGATGCTGATGAAGAAAATGTTTATATCATTAGTGATGAGGATATGATGAGGACACTTCAGATAATGATGAGGGTAGTAATGGGTCAAATGAACCAATTGAGGCTAATGATGAGGGGATATCAGACTATGAATCTGATGATATAGGAGGGAAATATTTTACTGATGAAGAAGATGTACAAGGTGTTAATGTTGACAGATATATGGGGGGAGAAATGTTTGAAATAAAGAAAGGGGAGAAAATAACATTAGAGAAGGGAATGATATTTGATGATGTGTGTCACTTCAAGACTGTGCTCTAGGAATTTGCAATTGAAAGAGGTTTTAAATTGATTAAAATAAAAAATGACAAGAAAAGAGTGACTTGCATATGTGCTTCCTCAATGTGTGAATAGAGAATTTATGCTTCTCCATTACCTGATAGGGTTGCATATAAGATTAAGACATTGGGCCCTGACCATACATGCATTAGAGTAGAAAGGAATACTGAAGCAACAACATCTTGGATTGCTAAGAAGTTTGAAAAACTCTTAGAGGGAATCCTAGGATCACTTTAGAGGCAATGCACGATGAAATAGTTGAAAATTATGGATTGGAGACTACAAGGACACAACTGTACAGAGGAAAGAGGAAAACCATGGAGGCAATTGAGGGTAATCATGCAAAGGCTTACACCAAACTTCTAATGTATGTTGCAAAAGTGTTGAGGACCAATCCTGGTAGTTTGGTCAAAATTGAAAGGGAAAGAAAGCCACCATCTAACCAAACTTACCTCCTCCCTTACCAACATTCAAAAGAATTTTTCTTTCATTTGCAGCCATACAACATGGCTTTAAAGAAGGTTGCAAACCTTTCATAGCTGTGGATGGGTGTCATTTGAAGGGACCATTTGGGGGCATATTGTCAGCCGCAGTTGGTCTTGATGGAAATAATGGTCTTTATCCTGTTGCAATTGCTGTGGAGGAGAGTGAATGTAAGGATAATTGGGCCTTTTTCCTTTACCACTTGAACACCATTTTTGGTAATGGCCTCCAAAACATGTCATTGACAATCATGTCTGATGGTCAAAAGAGCATTGAGTTAGCCATGAGACAAGTAATACCCCAAGCAACACATAGGAGGTACTGTAGATACATTTTCAGCAACTTAAAGATGAAAAGAGCCTTTTAGGCTGTAACTAAAGCTTACATTGTCAAGGATTTTAACATTGCAATGGAACAGATGTTGGAGTTATCTTCTGAAGCACATATCTGGCTTTCTAAATTTCTAGTTAAAATATGGGCAAGACACACATTTGATCATAGGGTGAAGAGTGAACATGTTACTAGCAACATGGTGGAGTCATTTAATAATTGGATTGGTAATGTTAGGGGTAAACCTATCTTGACATTGTTGGAAAATATCAAATTGAAACTGATGAACAAGTTACATAAGAGGTTTGAAGAGGCAACTTCATGGCAATCTTTGGTAACCCCTAACATTAAGAAGAAATTGGATGAAGTGGTTCTTCAGTCTAGGCTTTGTAAAGTGACTTTTGCAAGACAAAAGGAGTATTAAGTGGTTGAAAGTGTGGTGTCTTATATTGTGAACCTACAAAGAAGGTCATGTTGTTGCAGGATATAGGACATAAGTGGAGTCCCTTGCAAGCATGCAACAGCTTGCATTACTCATAAGAGGATGAACTTGGAGACCTATTGTGACATAATGTACTACAAACACATTTATTTTAAAGCATATGGGGAAATTATACATCCAATGCATGATGAGAGTTTATGGGGTCTAGTTCTTGGAGATGAGTTGAAGCCTCTACCTCATTGGTAATGTTAGGGGTAAACCTATCTTGACATTGTTGGAAAATATCAAATTGAAACTGATGAACAAGTTACATAAGAGGTTTGAAGAGGCAACTTCATGGTAATCTTTGGTAACCCCTAACATTAAGAAGAAATTGGATGAAGTGGTTCTTCAGTCTAGGCTTTGTAAAGTGACTTTTGCAAGACAAAAGGAGTATCAAGTGGTTGAAAGTGTGGTGTCTTATATTGTGAACCTACAAAGAAGGTCATGTTGTTGCAGGATATAGGACATAAATGGAGTCCATTGCAAGCATGTAATAGCTTGCATTACTCATAAGAGGATGAACTTGGAGACCTATTGTGACACAATGTACTACAAACACATTTATTTTAAAGCATATGGGGAAATTATACATCCAATGCATGATGAGAGTTTATGGGGTCTAGTTCTTGGAGATGAGTTGAAGCCTCTACCTCTTAAGAGGATGCCTAGAAGACCTAGAAAAAGTAGGAGAAGAGAAGTTGATGAAGCTGCACCATCAAAAAGATCATGCACTGTGAAGTGCATCATTTGCAAGAGGATTAGGCACAATAAGAGGACATGCCAGAGGGCACCTATTAAGGGTAGGGAAATGGGCACAAATGAGTCTGCTCAGAGAGGAATTGATACCGTTGTTGAAAGGAGCACTATTGGAAGGTCCACAACTACTGAGAGGAGGACTGTTGATGTAAGTGTGAATGACAAATGATTATGTTATTTTATTTTATTTTTCCACATGGAATATGAGGCCAAGTAATCCAATTCATTTTTTAGGATCAAGGACAAGATAGGGTGCTTCTAACTCAGTGGAGGATGACTTGAACCATAGGTATGCATGTAATTGCATCATGCATAACACTTAAAATATATTTATTTGTGTTTATTAATTTGTTGTTCTTTGTTTTTTTTTATTTTTCAGGTGATGCTTTTTATACAGGGGATGCTTTTTGCATAGGGGATGTTGAAAGGAATTAAAGATTAAGGTATACTTTTTTGTGTAATTAGTGGGTATACTTTTCTAACAATGTCTTCATATTAGTATATATCAGAAGACATGCATCCTTGCTCACCACAGGTTTTTGAATTGGGTGGTCTACTACTCTTTTATTGACTTGCAAAGTTTTTGTTGGATAAGAATTTGTAACTAAGATATAGTATTGCAAGGTTTATTTTGGTGGACATGAATATGTAATTAAGTTAATATTTCAGACTTGTGTATCTGAATTTTTAAGCTATTATTTCAATTTCAAGCTACTTGAGTGCTCTTTCTTCATTCCTTCCATGTTGAAGAGGATTCCATGGTATTTATTTATTACCCAGAAAATAACTATTCACCCAAAAAAAACTCAAAAAACAACAAATTAACTGAATAAGTTGTGAATACAAAATTAATTAATTTAATAATTTATGGAATGCAAAATTAAAATGGAAAAACACTTATCAAAGGCTAAAAATGTCATAAAATTAACAAATAATTAAATAAGTTACCAACGTATGAAATGCTTTATCAAAAGATTCTTAGGCTATGTATGGTTTGGTTTTTAGAATGTTTTTTAAAAAATTAATTAAGAAATAAAAAATAAAAAATAATTATAATTTTTATATAATTTTATCTTTCGAGTTGTTAGAAATAATTTTTTACAAATTAAATATATTTCTTCATATTTATTTTTATTAGATTAGTTTTATTTTTTTTTTTTAAAGTTTGAATTTTTTTTTTAAACAACGAACCAAAGGGATTTTAGGTTAAATCAGGTTGTTTGGTTGTGTTCAACAAAAAAATAAAAAAAATAAAAATAAAAAAATAAAAGAAAAGAAAAGGTTGTTTGATGCTTTGGTACAGATTAAATCAGGTTGTCTGGTTGTTTTGAAAGAAAAAAAGAAAAGAAAAGAAAAAGGGTTGTTTGGCACTTTGAAAGGTCCCAAGGATACTATGGTCTTGTAGACACCCAATTTTTGACCGACCTTAAGACTCAGACGTCATCAATTGAGCGCTCAGTGATAGTTCATGTTGCACTCGTTTCGAGGTTTCAAAGTTTTGGCTGAGAGCCTTACCTCCGGGCCTCTGAACTTTTTGTGCTTTAGCTCGGTTTGTGAACCGAATCTTGTTTTCTCTTCCCGGAGGGAGGGAGAGGTCTTGTAGACCATCTTTTTGTGGTCGTAGACCCCTTTTTGTGGTCGTAGGCCATTTTGCCCATTTGGAGACTAGTTTTCATTTTTTGGAGCCTTCGGCCGTGCGCCTTGTCTCAGGACCGCTTAACATTCTTCATTTGGCATGGGTTTTGAACCATGCCTTGTTGCCTCTGCCTAGAGGAACACTGTGATCCGGGAGACCACTTTTGTGGTCGTATACCACTTTTAATGCTAGTAGTATAGTTTTCGAGGCTTTCGGCCGCGTGCTTTGCCTCCCGATCTCTTGTCTTGCATCCGTTTTGGTTTGTTTTTTGTACAAACCTTGTTTTCCTTGTTTGGAAGGTGGTACAAGGATGGGAGACCAATTTTTCCCCTTGGAGACCACTTTTCCTCCTGCCAGTCAGTTTTCTGGTCAGATAACTGGCTTTCTTGGTCTTTGGGCCACCTTTTCTGGTCGGCCACCATACCACCACCTTTCTTTCAGTGTGTAGACTTCTCCCACCTATGGCCGACCATTTTTTGTTCTAAGAGACCATTTGAAGTGGTCGGCCGACCACTTTAAGTAGCTGGCCGACCATTTCAAGTGGTCGGCTGCTTTTTGTCACCTTTTTGGAGACACTGAAGCCATCCTCCATACACGTGTATAGAGGGATGACCTTGAACCTTAGCTTCCTTGAGAAGCTTTAGCTTTTGTTCTCTATAAGAGGAAGGCTCCTCATCCCTCCTCTAGGTTTAGAAAATTGGCTTGAGAGTTATACATATAGCTTTGTCTCTATATTGCTCTTCTTCTTCATTTTTGTGCCTTAAAATGTCATTTTGTCTTACTTTAACACACAAACACACACTCAAACACCATCCTTTTGTTGCTGAGGTGCTTAGGAGCTGGTTTTGGTGTTCTTGGGTTGGTTTGAGCTTGAAAAACCTACTGGAGTTAAAGCTTTAAAGGTGGTCTTCAAGGGTGAGTTTCTAACTCTTAAAACCCCTATTTTTGCTTAAGCTTTTAGCCTTATTTGCATACTGTTTTAAGCTTCTGTTTTAAGCTTAACTTCCTACTGATAAAAGTTTTATTTTTCAGTCCTTAAAATATTTGTTTAAGGTCACTTTTGCATTGGGGGTGGTTCACCCCCTCTTAGGCCTTGTTAGGCCTTGTCTTGAGCCATCCCTCTAGGCTCTTATTGTAGCCTTTGCATGACCTTTCTACCACTGAAGTGGAAAGGTGTTTTTGGAGTCCCTAATAGGAGAGGGTCATCCCCTCTCCTTGTATTTTGAATACTTGTTTCATATGCCTCTTGTTTGAGCACGTTTATTACGCTTGTATTAGCTTGTTCTTAGCATGTATTTGGGGTTATTTCAGCATACCTCAGATCTATTTTGACTTGGTTTGGTCATTCCATGCATGCCTTATACACTTGTAGTGTAAATCTTGCAAACTAACTTTGTGTGCCTCATGTTTGAGCTTGTCTTTCTAGCTGGTTTTGGGGCCATCTCAGTAGGTTTTTGGTGTTATTTTAACATGCCTTAGATCTTTTTTAGGTTGGTTTAGTTGGCTCTTGCATGCCTTATACACTTGTAGTGTAAATTTCATAAACTAGTCTTGTATGCTTCATGAAGTAACATGTCTTTCTAGCTTGTGTTGAGTTCATTTCAACATGTTTTTAGTGATGTTCTACCATGTCATACCTCTGTTAGGGTTTGGTTTGGTCATCTCTTGCATGCCCCATGCACTTGTAGTGCATTTCCATGATTTAGCTTAACAAGCATCATGTTTTAACATGTCATTCTAGCATGCTTTTGGCTTAACTCTAAGAAGCTTTTGTCCATGCTTTACCATGCTCTAGCTCTGATTTATGTTGTCTTGGTCATGCCTGCCATGCTTTGTATAGTTGTCATGGATTCTAGCTTGTTAGCTTTGTGCATCAAGTCCACTAGCATGCATTACTTAGACTATTTGAATGATTTGGCATCATTTGAAATGTGATTTCAGTCCATGTTTCATGGCCATACACTTGCATCTTTCACTTATTCAATGCGTTAGAGGGTTTTTCCCTTTATGCCTTAACATGAACCATTGCATATGCCTTCATGCCTAAGCTTGCGAGCTATCATTTTAATGTGTTATTTTGCCATGATATAACTCTGATTTTTGTTGGTTAAGTCATCCCATGCTTGGTCTTAATAGGTGTAGTGTAATCCACCTCATTTGCCTTGTATGCATCATGCCTTATGCGCTTCATGCTAGCTTGTTTTGGCTTCCGTCCATACATGTTTTAGTATTATTTTGACATGTTCTAGGACTGTTTTGGGTTGCCTTTGCCATATCTTTCATGCTTTGTATAGCTGTAGTGCAATTGGCCTTGCTAGCTTTGTATTTTGTGGACTCATGCATGCTATCTTTGAGCTATTTAGATGATTTGGCATCATTTAATACTTCATTTTCAGAGCTTATCACATTGCCATGTTCCCACTTCATTCATTCTTTAAGGGCCTTTGAGTGTTGTGTATTGTTGCCTCTTTTATGGCTTAGCTTGTATGCTTGCATGCCTAGGTCTTTGAGCCCCTATTGTAGCATGTTTAGGTCTTTGTTTTGACCT